ACCAGAGCTCATATTGCAACTTTTGTTGTTATTATCACTTTTCTCTGGCACTCCTTATTACTGGTTCCCATATTGTATTCATTTCTATGCTTGGTCGGCTCAGGAGATTTTTGTGGCCTAGCATATGTGCTGATTCCTTAAGTTTATGAATTTTCCAATGCTGTTCCTTGTCTATGACCTCAACCTGATCCCACAGAGGATGATGATCTCCCTTCTCTCTATATATGTGGTCAGCCACAACTGATTTTTCCACTTCCCCTCGTGATACAGTTTTCTGGTGTTCTTGAAGCCTCCCCTTTATATTTCTTTCTGCAGCTGCACATGATAGCGTACACACAGTCTTTAGTCATGTTCTCCTCTATGGGGGGGGTCTTACCCTTGAAAGAATCTGCGTAGTGTCGTCAAGCTTTTGAAGATTGTCCTGATGTTATATGGACCGCAGATCCTTTGTATTTTCTCTGATAGCCCCTTCACATAAGGCAGGCAGACTTTTTTCTGAGTGTTGTTGTCCTCCTCTTGTACCCGCCTATCCCAGTTTTTATAGACAGAAACATTTTTATTGCTGGTAATTTTTTTTTTTTTTTTAAATGTATTGTTAGTATTTTTTTCTTTAAATGTATTGCTGGTAATAATTTTTTTTTCTTCAAAAATTTATTGTTGGTAATAATTTTTAACAAAGCATTTCTGATATTAAAGCCTATTTTTACATTTTTGACCCCAGTTTGGGGGTTACCTATTTGCCCATAGCTGGGACCCTAACACGTGCTATCACTGTGACTAACACAGGGTTAATACTGGAAGATGAAGAACAGATTTGAAACTACAGAGATTTGGTTCTACCAACAAATTCTGAGAATAACACGAAGAGAAGATGTGTGCAATATGGGAGTTTTAAATAGAATAGAAATAATAGGAAAACTGCTGCTCACAATGGAAAAGAAAATGGTGGCTAGAAATACTTTTATATTTAGAATAAGAGAGAGGCAGCTGAAATTTCTGTGACACATACTGAGGAAAGAAAACTTGGAGAATTTAACACACACAGCATATATTGGAAGCAAAGGAAGCAGCAAGTAATTTACTTCATAAATTTATGTGAATGAATAACAGAATAAAGATTAGGGGTGGCTTGTAAATGAGCAAGAGATATTTAGAGCAACAAGATAAAGGAAGTTGTGAAGAGATACTGCCTGAAAGTATATGGGATATAAAAGAATGACTCACAAAGTTCAATTTAAAAAAAAAAGAAAAATCTGTAGCCATCAGTCATCTTGACTTCAATCTCTTTCCCAATTAATATGCTTTTTGTAAGATTACAGAGTTTAAGCATCTGTATTCAAAAGGAAAGCAAGAAGGAAGGACTTAGCACCAACTGCAAAAAGACAATGCATGGTGTCCTGGGTAAGATGATAAACTACATCTGATAGCAAGGCCTCTGATCAGGAGGTTTTGTGGAGCATGGAACCACTTCTTAATTATTGGTGTTCCCAGGTCTACCCTGACAAGGGTGGTAGCACCTGTTAGGGCTCTAGCTATGGGTAAATAGTTAACACCCAAACTGGGGTCAAAAACCTATGAGAGTGTAAAAATAGGTTTTAATACCAGCAATACATTGTTGTAAAAAATTATTGCCAGCAATGAATTTTTGAAGAAAAAAATTATTACCAGCAATAGATGAAAGTATAAAAATAGGTTTTAATACCAGCAATACTTTTTTGGAAAATTTTTTACCAGTAATACATTTTTGAAAAAAAAAATTACCAGCAATAGAAATCTTGTCTGCATTAAATAACCCATTGAGGTGTTGATATGCCATAAAACAAAACAAACAGAATGCATGGTTGTTAGCAAAAGGATGAGCCCAAAATGCAAATTAAAAAATGAGAGATACCAAAATCAAACAAGTGCAGAAATTAAAATATCTTGGAAGGGGTTAAACAGCAGATAGAAAGTGCAACACTGAAATCTGAAGACATATTGGATGGCTAAAGATGCCTTCAAAAAGCTAAACAGAGTATTAAGAAATAAAAAAAATTTAAAAACAAAGAAAAAGAGTACTGAACTGTTATATGATATCTGCCCTTCTGTATGGCAGTGAATGCTGGACAATCTCCTCAAAGAGGAGACTTGAAGCAACAGAAATGTGGTTCTACAGAAAGATACTGAGAATACCATGACTGAATATGTAAGCAACGACAAAGTTTTAAAGAATATGAAAACAAAAAGGAAACTTATAATTGACATCAGGAAGAGACAACTGAAATTTCTAGGGCACATGATGAGGAAAGAGGGTTTTGAAAATCTGATACTCACAGGCCAGATTGAAAGCAAGAAGGACAGAGGAATACAACACATAATATATTTGATGACTTGCAGTTGATGTTTAATACTTTCTTCTCATTTTCCTTCACTGCCTTCTGTAAGAGGTTTTGTAGCTTTCTCTCTGTGTTTACTATCAACATTGTATCATCTGCATACATAAAAAGAAAAGAGTGATAAAGGAGGGGGATAATGCTCTCATAGGTTTAATGCTTGCTTCAATGAAATGGAAAACCTTGTCAGTTTTTAATCTTTTCATTTGTACCCACTTCTTTAAATAATGACCTGTATTCACCCTTATGATTGCAATATTTTGTTACAGTCATTATACTCAAATATTTAACAAAGCAATAGAGGAATTTCGATGGATATTTTATAAACATTGTACTTGCAAGTAACTTATTCCATCATTAAATTAAGTGTTATGATGCATCAGAAGATTCAAAAAGGAAAACTGATTTGATGGAGAGCATATTTGCAGATTATCAATTTTTAATGAACAATGGTTGAATATGTATTTGGGTGCACTTGTATTTCAGTGTGTTCAATCATCTTCAGAAAAGTGTAATTGCAATTGACTAATTTTGGTTATTAATAAAGAATTTAAGCATAAAAAGATAAAATGAGTATTCAAAAAAAATAAAAATTAAGTTAGATCATGATTGATAGATTGATTTAATTTTTTATGGTTTATCAACCCTTTTTGTAGCTTATTTAAAACTGAAACATATTTTGGATTGTAAGAATAATTTTTTTTTTCAAGTGAATATTAACAATTTTTAAATTAAAAAAAAATAATGATTTTCTCTGATATAATTCTTACTATTTAACCTATAGTTGGGGGGAGAAGATTGATTCATAGTTTTTCAAAGTGCATAAGTGAATCTAATGAAAAATAATGTATAATCAGTCAGATATGTGCCATGCATGATACACGCTTAGGCAATCATATATCTTTCGATACATGACTGACGAGGCAGATTTTTTCCTGCAGTAGGTTTCTATGGTAGACCAGTTGCCATCCAAGGCTATAGTACCCAGTCTGTGCTACTATTTACACATAGCTGGGGGGGAGAAGAAGAGGATTCATACTTTTCCCAAGGGTATTAGCATGTAAGTGAATGTAATGAATTCAAGTGGAATTTGAACTTGGCCCTCTGATTCTCAATCCGAGCTGCTATCCACTACGATAATATATATATATATATATATATATATATGTATGTATAATATGATATTTAATTAGAAACAAAAAACTAAGAATAATTATATATTTTTTGCAAGTGGATATTGCATTAGCAATTCTTTTGCGAATAACAATTATTTTTCCAGATACAAGTTCTACTATTTAACCCATAACTGGGGGAGAAGCTGAATTCATATCAAGGGTATTTGTGCATGTGACTGTATCAAAAAGTTACATGACAAAAAAAACAATGTATAATATGATATATATATGATATTAGAAATAAAGAATCAAGCACTTTATTAAAAAAGCAAAAAAAAAGTTAATTCTTAGCTAAATATTCTAATGAAAATCAGTAATCATCCATAAATTTCAAAAGAAATACCAAACTAAAAATGCCAAAAATAAAAATGTCAAAATGTGACCCAGTTAACAATGGATTTTTCTCAATTAGAAAAATATTATTTGATATTTGAGACATAATTGAAATTCATTGGTGCTTAATTGACTTCAGAGCTTTCATTATGTTTTCAAATTGCCTGATCACTACTTTTTTTTGTCTTTTTGTAATCAGTTAATAGAGATAACACTAAGAATTTAAATTCCAAAACAATCAGATTGAAAGAGATGATTCACAAAACTATAAAACAAAAATCATATTTGAAATGTTCAAAGCATTGTAAGATATCTGTTTTATAAAAAATTTAAAACTTTTACGAGAAAATACTGGAAGCCAAAACAGACATGTGAATTTGTGTATGGAAAAAATGGCTTCTTTGTTGAATTATCAGTATTTTACAAGCCTATCTTTGTCTGACACAAGGCCACATGTATATAGGACCCTGTGATGCTCAAACTCACTTCACTAATAATAATCTTACTATTATGCAAGAGAAGTTTCCTGTCTTCAATAAGACTTATGGCCACATCACATTGTGTGGTGAACAATTAAGCGAGTCAGAGTGGCTTGCATCTCATCTGAAGGAAAAACAAGTTCCTTACTTTAATACATGACATGTAGCAGTGGCTTTTTGTTCCTTGAAAATGGCATGAATCTCCCCTTCTCAGGTTGGATTATTCCAAAAAGTGTATATTCTGTAAGGTGGTTTTTGTACATCTTAGCATGGTTTAACCAATAGCAAGCCGCATGCTGATTGATTGGACTGGAGGATGTCATTTGACTGGATAACTGAGAAAAAATACTCAATGGTCAGTCGGCTGTGGTGTTGATATGACAAAAGAGCATTGAAGTAGTGAGAAGAGGAAGGATTTTTATGTTGGTGACGTGTGTAGGAACTGAAAAATGGCAGATTGAAAAAGAAGTATTTAGTGTTATACATGCAACATCAGAGGAGCACAAGCTCATTTATGCTACACATTGAAACACTGGTTTTTGTATGATCACCAAAGTTAAGCAACACAGAGTCTGGTCAGTACCTATATGGGTGACTTTTGGGAATACAAGGTGCTGTAAGGACAAACTAAACTCAAAAGCTTATGGCCATATCATGTTAAAACACCAGTTCTCATACACTCACAGAAGTTAAGCAACATTAAACCTGGTCAGTATCTATATGGGTGACATTTTGGGAATACCAGGTGCTGTCAGAAAAATTCAGAATTCAAAAGCTTATGACCATATCATGTTGAAACAGCATTTTTTTTTTATTTATTAAAGTTCTTTGTGATTTGGTAGCATCAATTTATGAAATCTGATGAAGGATTGTTTTCTTTAAGACAAGTTTATGGCCACATTATGCTGAAACACCAGTATGATCACCAAAGTTAAGGAACATCAAACCTGGTCAGTACCTATATGGGTGCCTGTTTGGGAATACCAGGTGCTGTAAGCTTGGATGTGTATGTGGCATAATGGATAATGGCTTGGAATTGTTAATGAAAGAGCTGAGATCCAATTCCTTTTGGGTTTGTTATATTTAGTTATATGCAAATACTCTTTGGAAAGGTATGAATCTGTTCCTTCTCACCCTAGCTACAACTAAAACATTATCACAAAAACAAAATGTTTTTACAATCTAAAAATATTTTCTGTCTTTAAATAATCTGCAAAGTGTTGATAACCCATAGAAAATTTAGATTCAGATTATAAAAAGGCAAAGAAATGTCTCTGAAGATTTAGGATTTATTGATATAACAATGTCAGGTCCCAGAAAGCTTCAAGACCAGGGTTCAGCAACCTTTTGGAGAGAGCAGGTCAGACAGCTATGCAGCGTCTCAGAGGAGAGCCATGATATCTAATTTACTATAATAAATTGTCTTGACCTCAAACCACTGCATCCAGAAGGCTGCCTTGGCCTGAAGGTTGAAACAAAAAAACAATGAAGTTAATGTTATATTATTTAAACAAGGTTACTTATTTCACTGCAGGAATAACAACAGAATCAACAAAAAATGTAAATTCCTTACTACAAATGAAATACAGTTAGAAATGGCAGATTATTTAATGAGCCACTTATTTCTGCTTATTGTACAATAACCTCTCTCCATAAGGTGAAATATTTGTTGATGACAAGAGCAAAATATTATCCAGGAAGCCCTCACACAACCTTGTTCTTAAATGATTTTTAGTATATTTCATTTTTGAAAAAAGTTGTTCACAAGCATATGTACTTCCAAATAATAATACCATTATTTTCATATTATTCAACAGACGTTTATATTTCCCGCTTGGCAAAACATATTTCTAGTAGAATTCAGCAGTGGACCCAGAATTAAATTTTGATTTAAAAAATTTGTTGCATTGTAAGTCAATTAACTCCAACTGACATGTTTTTTTGGCACTTGCTCGTCAGATTAATTAGATAATTAGTGTCCAGGTGTTAAGTTGGCAGGCCGGAACAAAAATCCTTCACAGGACAAATGTGACCTGAGGGTCAGGGATTGCCGACCCCAGTTCTAGACCTTACCAAAATTGTTCTGCATAGTATTTAAAATTTAGATTCAGATTATAAAAAGGCAAAGAAATGTCTCTGAAGATTTACAATTTATTGATATAACAATGTCAGGTCCCAGAAAACTTCTATACCAGAGGTCAGCAACCTTTTGGAGATAGCGGGTCAGACAGCTATGCAGTGTCTCAGAGGAGAGCCATGATATCAAATTTACTATAATAAATTGTCTTGGCCTGGAGGTTGAAAGAAAAAACAAAGTTAATGCTATATTATTTAAACAAAGTTACTTATTTCACTGCAGGAATAACAGGATAACAACACAATCAACAAAAAATGCAAATTCCTTACTACAAACAAAATACAATTAGAAATGGCAATTTATTTAATGAGTCACTTGTTTCTACTTACTGTTCATGTTGTGTTGGAAACCTACCACCCCTCTGGAAGATGAACTTGTCTGTGAACAAAGACTTTAAATAGTGGCATGTCAGTTGACATGGAAGAGAGATAGACAGATAAGTTCTTAGCTGAGCTACTTATTGACTACTCAGGCGATTTCTTTACCTTTTTACCAACCTATTAAAACCCTTTTTATTGTTACATGTTATTTGGTGTTTGTCTCTACTAACCCCAAATCGACATCATAACAGTTCAATAACTTCTCCACATCTGGTGAAATATTTGTCGATGACAAGATCAAAACATCATTCATATTTTCGTCACCCAACCTTATTCTTAAACAACTTTCAATATATTCCATTTTTGAAAAATGTTGTTCACAAGCATATGTACTTCCAAATAATGATACCATTCAATAGACATTTATATTTTCCACTTGGCCAAACATATATCTTTTAGAAGTCAGCAGTGGATTCAGAATTAAATTTTGATTTAAAAAATTTGTTGCATTGTAAGTCAATTAACTCCAACTGACATGTTTTTCTGCCATTTTCTCCACAAATTAATTAGATAATTAGTGTCCAGGTGTTAAGTTGGCAGGCCAGACAAAAATCCTTCACAGGACAGATATGACCTGAGGGTCAGGGATTGCCGACCCCTGTTCTAGACCTTACCAAATTTGTTCTGCATAGTATTTAATGTATTTTCATTTTTTATATATAGAAAAGGAATACAAAAATAGAAAGGAGTGTAAAACAAAGTTGTGTCTTTTCAACAGATTTATTCAATCTTTACGGTGAAGCAATTCTGAGAGAATTAGAAATCCTAGCAGGATTGATTATGGACAGCCGCAATCTTTACAGCATTATATATGCAGATGATGCAGTGTTGATAGAAAATATAGAAAG